AGTTGGAATCAATGGCAACAGGTTGATGAGCCCATGCAGCTTTAGGGCTTTGGGAGAACCCGACAGCTCTTCCACTCCAGTGTCACTGAGCGTCCTCTGGGAGCGGCTTCCTCTAAGGACCCATTTCTAAGTACTCAGGCCCCTGGGCTGGTCAGGGAGCTGGGGCACCAAAGTTTGTGCCAGAACTGTGAGGACTTCCCTGAGGTCAAGGTGGCAGAGCCATGATGGCCCTTGCGTCAGGGAGGAAGTGGGGAAGGGGGCCGTTCCCACCCCTGACGGCGCTCCTGGACCCCTAGGTCTGATTGCCTTCATCAGAGGAAGCACGTGCTCACCCCGCTACACCCTCTGGTTCTGCTTTGGGCAGCCGTGGCCCCAAGACAAGCCGTGGATCAAGAAGCTGGTGATGGTCAAGGTACCAGCAACATGAGGCTCCCTGGCTGGGGCTGAGAGGGGTGGGGCTAATAAGGGGGCAAGGCTGCTCCCCAGAACTACAACTCCCAGAAGCCCTTCGCAGAAACTGCAACTCAGCAACCACCAGTTCCTCATTCCCAGCTTCTCCTGGGGCTGTTCCTCTAGTGGCTGCATTCAGAAAACCTGCTCTGAGCACTTGGAAACCATGGGAGGAACTACAGTTCCCAGGAGTCCTTCTGACAAGTTCTCAGCCGTTGGGGCTTCTGGGAATCTATGCCCTAGAGACCTCTGGCATCTTTTGTTATTCAACATGGGAAAAACTACAACTCCCAGCAGCCTCAGGCCTAGTGGTGCATTGTGGGCTACAGTGGGGCTGTTGGGGGTTGTAGTTCGCAGCTGGCTGAGGCAGGTGGAAGGAATTGGAGTTTTCCCTAATACAGTGTTTGCCCCCCCCCACCTCTTGCAGGTAGTTCCTACATGCCTCCGGGTCCTGCTAGACATGGCCCGGGTGGGGGGCGCCTCCTCGCTGGAGACTGTGGACCTGCACATATCCAACAGCCAACCCCTCTCCCTCACCTCAGACCAGTACATGGCCTACCTGCAGGACCTGGTTGAGGACATGGATTTCCAGGTCGCCGGGGAGGCCTGAGCCTGGGTGCCCCCACCTCAACAATAAACTGGTTCCTGTTATAGTCACCACACGTGTGTCCTGTGTTGGGTGTCCGTAGGCACGCCCTGACCCACTCTGCGCAACAGTCCTTCCTGGTGTCTGCTTACTCACCAGTGAAGCACTCGTGACCCGGGGGGCAGCTGCAATGAAGCCCACACCTCCCAGTGACTTTCCCCCATCTAATACAACGAGGTGCCGAGGCTTGGAGAGGGGCAGAGGCCAAAGCAGGAACTACAGCACAGCTGGATCGAGGGCCACTTCCAGGAACAGGGCTGTCACTACAGGGCAGCGGCCTGCGGCCAGGCTGGCCCTCAGCCGGCATCTACCCAACCTGCTTGGCCTGGAAACGGCTTGGGCGGCAGCCTCCCCTGTGGGAGGCCCCCCTGGATGCCCTCCAGCTCAACCCAAGTCCTGCTGGGAGGCCTCAGCAAGTCCCCTGGGCCTGGGCCTTGGCTCCAGCCGACTGCGGCCCAACTCAACTGCTGCTCCTCAGGCGTCCTCACCATCAGGGCCGGGGGGTGGGCTGGGGTGCGTTAGGTCACCCCACCCTCATAGGTCTCCTGAAGAGAATCCAACTTGGTAGGGGGCAGAGAGCCCACTTCCGGGGGCAGTCTGCTACTCCGAGCCTGGAAGGCGGTGGTTAGGTGGGGCTGGGAGCCCGAGCCCCTGCCAGTACCGCTGTCTACACGGTAACCGACAGCTTCCTGCAGGCTGGGTGTTAACCAGAGCGCTTCCTCTGCTTGGGTCTTAACCCTCACAGTGGCCTGGGAGGCAGATGTCACTACTGGACCCGTCTCCAGGCTGAGTAAACCGAGGACCCAACGGCAGAATGCACGGTTTACAGAGCCTCCCCTCCCACCATCTCCCACCTCGACCTGGGCCACCAACGCCACCCCAGCCCTACCCAAATCTGTCTCTGAGAAGAAAGGGCTCCCAGCGTGGCTCAAGGGAACATTTCATGAAATCTTTAATGAAACTGAGGGTGAGGGGATGAACAGAGGGGCAAGGGGGACAGGCTTGGGGCAGGGCGATGGCCAGGGCCGGGCAGGGTGGGGGCTCTCCTCCTCCCCACAGCAACACCCCCATCATCCCACTTATGGGGGGAGGGGAAGTGGGGAGGCGGAGCCATAAATATGTCCAGATTTTCGAAGAGGCGAGTGAGGGGCAGGACGGCGGGCCTCAGAGAGGGGGCAGGGGCAGGCCCGGGCCGCCCTTGTCGGGGGGCCCCGGCTCCTTGGGCGGCCGTGGGGGCCCTGGGGGGTCCCCGGGCTTGCGGCCGTGCTTGCGGAAGTAGCGGTAGCGCTGCACGTAGGCCCGCACCAGGTTGCTCACCTTCACCGGGTTGATCTCCCCGCTTTTGCTGTGGCAGATCTGGGGGAAGGGGGGCTGGAGTCACCGCCACCCTGTGGGGCCCCCCACCCGGGGCTGTGAAGCCCCCCACGTCCCGGGACTGAGACGGGAGTCACCCCCACTCATCCCCCCGATGGCCCGGAGGGTGGGGTGTGAGGCCACGGCACCCCAGCTCTGCTCCGTCCCTCCGACTACCCCTCGGCTGTGAGGACACGTCTGCCCCCCAGCGGTGCCCCACCTTGTGGACTGCCTTCCTCAGGATGTCCTTGTACTCGTCCTTGGTGATGTCCTTCTTCTGGTAGTACGGCTTGATGGCCAGCTTGACCTCCTCCACCGCCCGTTCCTGCGTGTGCAGCTTCTTCAGATACTGTCGGGACAGGAGGACCAGAGAGGGTCGCCGGAGCCCTGCAGGAGCCCGGCCTCCACTGCCCTCCTCGCACCCGCTGCCTGGCTCGTGATCTGTGGCTTGAGGCGCAAGTCCTGCTTAGGTCTGCCCTCGGCTCCTCTCGCTGCAGTCACCAGACCACAGGCCAGGCCTGGACATGTCACTGAGCCTCCGCCTGGGCTAACAGCCTTCAGGGGCTGACATCTCGGACCGCGGCAGCACCCCGCAGATCTCCAGCCAGGACACCCGAGATCCCGGGAAGCGGCTTTCTCCACAGATGCAGCCCAGAGAAAGGGCTCCTCTCCAGGCCTGCACCACCACAGGGTGGGGTGAAGGACGGCAGAGGGCCCCGAACAGACCCCGGTGCTCGGCTGCTGGGCACGGGGCCCCCTCCCTGTGCCCGCTCAGCGCACACGCAGCACCCTCCACCGCCTTCTCAAGTGGGCACTTCTCGGGGCTTTCCCATCGCGGGATCTGCCCCCAGAGCCCGGCGAGGGGCCAGAAGTTGCACATGAACAAACGCCGCCTTTGTGTTTGTCAGCACCGTCCGTCCCAACTCCATCCGGGAACGGCACCTGGATTTTTCTTGTGAAAACCACCCTCTCCCACCAGCACACGACGGGGAGGCGGAGGGGTAGCTGGGTCACCGAGAAGGGGCGTGCTGTGATGTCGCTGGGGGTGCCGTCCAGTCAGTTCTGACTCGTGGTGGCCCCGCCTGACAGCAACGCCCCGCAGGGCTCTAGGCTGTCAGCTTTCTGGGAGCAGATCACCAGGTCCTCTCAGGGAGCCCCTGGGTGGGTTAGAACCGCCAGCCTCCTGGTTATCATCCGAGTGTCCACTGTTGCACTCTGAAGGTGGACTGCGATGGGTCTAACTGGGTGCACACACTCTGTGTATCTCCAGGGGCCGCTGGGTTGAGCGGCCATCAGCCAGCCTTCCTCACACCACCACTCCCCGTTTCTTTATCTATGGGGGTTACGTTCTGTCAAGTGGCCACAGCACTGAATTAGCAAACACTGAACCGCTGCTCTGAGAGGGAGCCTTGGTGGTGTAGCGGTGAAGGCATCTGGCAGCTAACCAAAAGGTCAGTGGTTCAAACCCATTAGTGGCTCTGTGGGAGAAAGACAGGGCAGTCTGCTTTTGGAAAGACTGACAGCCTTGGAAACCCACTGGGGGTCACTATGAGTCGGAACTGACCCAATGGCAGTGGATTTGGTTTTGAGTTTGAACCACCGCTCCAAGGGAAACACGGCCTTAGGTACCTGCAAACCTCTGGTCACAACATTTTGTCAAATGGTCACATCATGCCCTTGTTGAATGTGAGTTTCTGTCCAAAGACAACTTCCCTAACGGACGAGTTGATTCGCTGGCTCCGAGTCCAGCCCCGTAACTCGCTTGCGTGGCTGACACTCGCCCTGCATGTAGTCCCGCCCGAGCCACCAGGCAGCCGCCTTCTGCTCAGGGACACTAGACAGCACGTCAGCATCGTGCTGGGAACCGTCATCAACGGCGAAATCGCCAGGAAGATGCACAAGGCACAAAACGTGACACTAGACACATGGCAAGATGGACGCCTGCACACAGTCTGAGGCAGACGCGGACGGCAGAGTGCTGCCTGTCCCGACCCAGCTGGGAACGAGCACTGGGGAGACGCACGCTCTTCGCTGCCCGTGGGTGTCCGCAAACAGCTGGGAAAGCGCCTCACGTACTGACTTGGGGTTACAGACGGGCTTCGGGGAGCAGGCGGGCTTGCAGCCGTGGCTGGATAAGCGGGGCCTGGCTGCGTCCCGTGCTGTGGACTTGCCCAGGAACCATCTCGGCGGGGTCCCGCTCACCCTCAGCCTCAAGAGCTCTGCTCGGAGCCCCCGTGGGCTGCGGCAGCGCGGCCACTCCCCTTGAGCCCCCCATCTCGCTCTCCATCCCTGTCCCCTGAGAAAGCACCAGCAACGCCCGGCCAGGCCCCGCTCACCTTGTCTGTGTCCCCACGTCCCTCGGAGCTACTGCTGCCCTCTCTCTTGTCAGATGCCGCAGCCAGCCCCGTGGGGGTGGGCGGAGTCGAGCCACAGCCCCCCAGGGGGAGGCTGCCAGGAAGCAGGTAGCTGGAGGGTCCGGGGGGCAGGCCCAGAGAGGTGGGCACAGGAGCGGGGGCCACCCCCACACCTGAGGGGGGCTTCCTGTGGCTGAGGATCTAAGGGAAGAGAGTGGAGAGAAGGGGAGTAAACAGAGGCGGGGGGCCCAGGGCCCATGTGCCCCACCTACCCGGCTTTCCCAACAGCCCTGGGGCCACAGGCTTCTCTTGGGGTGGGCACCTTGCCCCAAGGCCTGCTGGGAGCTGGGGTTCTTCCACTGGCCCGAGGCCGGGACAAGGAGGGGCTGTGGGGACGCCTCCCCCAGGAAGCCCACCTGGTTGGTGGCCTGGATCAGCTCCTGGGCCTTTGCTCGGCTGGCCAGGTTGGCTTCCTCCATCTTGAAGAGAAGTGCAGTCACTGCGGGAAGCAAGGGAACGAGGTGGGGGATGGGAGCTGACCTGACCGGAAGTGGGGACCTCCCCCAACACCTGCTGCCCACCAGCCCCCTGGAGCCCCGGACAGGCCATGTGGCCTCACTCTCAGAGCTGGAAACGAGGGCTTGGCTGCCAGTAACCCCCACCTGCCCACCTGGCGTATTCTCGGGACTCAAGGTGTGTGTGGGGGGTGGTATGTGGTTTGGTCACTTGGAGATGAGGTGGTGGCAGGAATGAGAACATGGACCCTGACCCTGCACCTGTGCCTGGCCTCTCGCCCCACGTCTGAGGTCTGGCAGGGGCTGCGACCTCCCTCCTAAGAGGCCCGCGCCCCTGTGCACCACACTCCCTCCCTTTCCTCTAGTAAGTCCAGTTCCCGGCAAACCTCAGCCTGTGCCCGTCTGCTGTGCTCGCCCCTGGCACCCCAATACCTAAGATCCCACCTTAGGGCCTCCTGAGTGTCCCGACCCCACCCGGGCTTCTCCCGTCTGCCCCATTCCCCAGGGACACTCACAGGCCAGGACGCCACTGGTGGTGCAGTCCACGCCCGCCGGCAGGTTCCAGGGCATGGGCGGGGGCAGCGTGGGCAGCTGGGAGACACGGGTGGCCGGCCCGTCCTCGGCCCCCGAGTCACCGGCAGTGGAGCCTGCACTCGGGGCGGCACTGGGGGCGGCCACAGCTGTGCTGGTGGCTGTCGTGGTGGCGGGCTGCTGCTCTTCCTCCTCTTCCTCCTCCTCCTCTTCCTCTTCCTCCTCCTCCTCCTCAGCCCCGTCCAGAACCCCGGCCTCCTCGCTGGCCTCTTCGGGCAGGAAGGAAACCTCGGGTGTCTTGCAGCTGCTGTCCACGGTCTGGGAGTCAGGGGTGAGCACAGGGGGCGGAGGGGCTGCCTTGGTGGGCGGGGTGCTGGGCGCCTTGGCGGCCCGCTCCTCTCCGGACCAGGACGTCTCCTCGGCACCCTTGGTCCCAGCGGCCTGGCTGCAGCTATCCGCCTTGGACTTCTTGAGCGTCACGGGGCCGCCTCCACCTCCACTGCTCCCGCCGTTCCGCACCTTCTTCCGCGTCTTGGATGGCTTGGTCTTTCCCTTGGTCCCCTTGGCTTTCTTGGCCCCAGCCTTGGTCTTGACCTTGGTCTTCTTGGGCTTGGTGCTGCCTGGTGCAGCTCTGGCCACCTCGGTGGGGGCCCGCTCTTCGGGCTTGAGGAACGGGGAGCGGCTCTCGCGGTCGCGGCTGAACTTGACGCCGATGGAGCCCAGGCCGGCCGGCGCAGCCTCCTTGGCGGGGGTGGTGCTGCTGACGCCCTCGCGGATCAGCACAGCCACCTTGGACTGCAGCTTCACCTTCCGGGAGGAGCAGGAGGAGGAGGAGGAGGAGGAGCCCGAGCCACTGCTGGCTGGCGGCTTCGGAGGCGGCCCTGAGGCGGACGCCAGCTCCTTGGAGGGTCGGGCCTTCTTGGAGGACCTGTCCCTGTCCCTGTCCCTGTCCCTGTCCCTGTCCCGGTCGCCCCCATCCAATGCCTTTCGCCGCGACCCCTTCTCACGGGAGGAAGAGGAGGAGGCCGCCCCGGACCGGCGCCGGTCCTTCTCGCTCGTCTTGCCGCCCCGCTCCTCGCCGCTCAGTCCCTCCGAGTCGTACAGGACCTCGCGCTTGGGCGACGAGGTGGGGGCCGGCGAGGGGCCCCGGGGGTCGGACTTGTCGGGCCGGCCCACCGTGATGGTCCGCTTGATGGCAAAAAGGTCATGGTCCGTGAGGTCCTGGATGGAGGGTGGCACGGCCCCCCGGCGGCGGCTGTCCCGCTCGCTGGCTGACACGCCAGAGCCCGAGGCCAGCGGCGCCAGGACCGAGGCCTTGTCTGCACCGCCGTCCCCGGACCGCTTCTCGCCCCGCGACCGCGACCGCTTCTTCTTCTTCTTGCTGCTGCCGCCATCCCGGTGCTTGCCTCGGTGCCGCTCACGCCGCGAGGAGGACGAC